CACGCACGTACGCACGCACGCACGCACACACATACACACACACACACACACACACACACACACACACGCACGCACGCACGCACGTACGCACGCACGCACGCACACACACACACACACACACACACACACACACACACACACACACATACATTCTGATTCAGTTCCCACACCCCTGCTGCTCGCCAGATGCGGCGTTGAGAAGTTTCCACGCGCGCGTTTACGCGCGGCTGCGTTTAGCGGCGTGCGGTGTGTGAGCGAAACCCTCCGTTAACAACGGGGCGGTTGATTCCAAACGTGCGTGCACGCAGCTCCCCACACTCTGCGAATGCGACCATTTGTTTGTTCCTTTCGGCGCGTGCGTCCTCCTCCTCGTCCTCTTCCGCCTCCTCCACCTTCTTCTCATCGTGGCTACGAAGCTCATTAAATTTCAGTCGCGCTTCGCTGGCGAATTTGTCACGAATTTCGCTCGACGCGAGCGGATGTTGAAACCGTACGTGCTCCAGCGGGCCGCAGATATACGTATACACGCACCGTGAATGAATGCTCTAATTAGTCGCTATATATATACAGAGTTATGAAGATGGCAGTTTATGTTTGCTGTCGTGCCCATTATGTGCCAACTTAGATTTATGTATGTATATAGACAAGTGCTAGTAGCTAATTGTGGTCTCTAATTGATATTTGCTAAAAAGAGAGGAGAGAGATAGAACGTGAAGATCGGGGAACCAACGCGTATGGGAAACGAGGGGGAAGGGAGAGAGAGAGAGAGAAAAAGAGAGAGAGAGAGAGAGAGAGAGAGACGAGGATGGGTAAGAAATGAAATGGAAAAGGAAATGGGGAAGGAGAGTGATTAAGAGAGAAAAGAGAGGCGGACCAAGTAAGTCAAAGAACGCTAAAGAAGGGGGGGGGTGAGCGTAAAAGATAACATGGCAGGAAGGAAACGAGGGTATAAGAGAACCAGAACGGGGACTGGTAATAGAGGAAGAAGGGATGGCTGGAGAGATGTAAGGGTAGAAGGAGTGTGAGTTAGACCAAGAGAGACATTGGATGCAAGTGAGAGGGAGATATGAAGAAATGGGCGAGAGAAATATAGCAATGGTGGGGTAGAGGGGGGATGAAACGGAAGGAAAATGTGGCAATGGAAGAAGTGAATGTACATGGGGCACAAGGACAGAGGCAGAGCGAGGGGGAGAAGGCGAGAACGTGCGTTAGACGTGCACGCAAGGAGCTAATTCAATAGAAAGTGAGAGGGGGAGGCCGGGAAAAGAGAGCAAGCGAGGGAGCGATGCCGTTTAATCAAAGCATTTAGCTCAGCATGTCCAATTAAAAATATTTGCGCAAGCGACGCCGCGACGGCCCGCTGTATTGCAGGCCAGCTGCACGCACGCAGAAGACCACGGCTATAGCCAACAGTGAAAAGAGATGCGTGCCTACATATGTACTGACTGGATGACAGCAATCATCTTGGATGGGTTTTGTCAGCGATCAATAATCAATCGCGCTCGCCATGCCGCGGCATTAAGTGCTGGATAACATCCGAGCCACGGACTTTGTACTACAGAAACCGACAACGCTCGCGAGCGGGCGTGATCGGAGACAGAAACACAAAGGCGGCGCACACGTTTCGGGCTGCCCTTGTTGAATCGGTGGGAGTTGTATTACCATTTTCCATTAGTACGGCAGGCTGTGGTTTTACATGTGGGCTGGGGTGCACACCCATGCGCGCATGGACGTACATGTCTGGGTGCGTATATAAAACTTCGCATAAATCTGCCTTGTATTTTATTCTCTCTCTCTCTTTCTCTCGATGCTGAAATGTTTAAATGAATAAATTGCCAGCTCGCGCTAATCCACGCGCGCGCGCACACAAATAGAGCAGACCTTTTAATTCCGCCTAGGCTACATTTCTACGTTTATATAGCGTAGCAAAAACGATTGCAATTCGCGTTCGTACAATCGTTTCTACGACTCCTCCGAGTACACGCGCGCGCTTGCAGGCGTTTGGTATGCGCCTAAAACCCATGTCGATTTTCCCCCATTGTCGCGCGAAAACGACGAAATTTGGTAAAGTGAGAAAGCGGCCGAGTGATATTGAAATGGCATATAAACCCGTGTGTGTGTATGTGTGTGTGTGTGTGTGTGTGTGTGTGTGTGTGTGTGCGTGTGTGTGTGTGTG